CACTCACACACACACACACACACACACCCACATGAACACACACACACACACACCCCCTCACCCTCATGAACACACACACACACACACCCCCTGACCCTCATGAACACACACACACACACCCTGACCCTCATGCACACACACACACACACACACTCACACACACTCACTCACACACACACACTCTCTCACTCACACGCACACATACACACACAGTCTCTCTCTCACACACACACACACACACTCACGCTCTCTCACACACACACACACTCTCATTCACACTCACACACACACACAGTCTCTCACACACACACACACACAGTCTCACTCTCACACACACACTCTCACTCTCTCACACACACTCTCTCACACACACACACTCTCACTCTCTCACACACACACACTCTCTCTCACATACATACACACACTCTCACGCTCTCTCACACACACACACACTCTCACACACGCATGCACACTCACACACGCACATACATGCATACACGCACTCACTCACACACGCATGCATGCATACACACACTCACACACACATACATGCATACACACACACTGCTTCAAGTATGCGGGCGAGTTTAAACACATTTCCGTATGTTTAGAAATAAAGTTTTCAGTTCTAAATTCAGTCTTTAAATTCAATCTGAATGGTAATGTCCTGAAAAGTCACCTTCTCCTTGTAATACCTGTCATACCTTTGTCATTATACACATTTATGTCCTCATTTGTCACAAAAACGCGTACACACACACACACACACTCACACTTTCACACACACACTCACACACACACACTTTCACACACTCACACACACACACTCACACACACACACACACACACACACACTCACACACACTCTCTCACACACTCACACACACACACACACTCTCTCACACACACACACACTCTCACACACACATACACACACTCTCTCACACACACACACACACTCTCACACTCTCTCACACACACACACTCACACACACACACTCTCTCACACACACACGCTCACACACATACACATACACACACACTCACACACATACACACACACTCACACACAGGGGCGCTGTAACGGGGGAAGGCTAGGATGATTACAAGGGCCTGACGAGGAAGAGGGGGCCCGGACCGTGATTTTTACAGAGGGGGAAACAATGTGTCATGAAAGTGTCTTCATTTAAGTCACTTCAGTGGCTATTTATTTTATTAACATTATCTAATCTGCAAGAACAGTTATCTAAAATATTTGATGTACACTTCTATTCAGCGTATGAATTGTCAGTGGTGTTGAATATCAGTGGTTGCGTCGCAGACAGCTGTGAAGATGACAGTCAGACACACTGATCATAAAGTGACGTGACACGACGGGAAGAGCTGATGTGTGCAGCAGCTGAAGAGCGCTTGGTTTGTGTAACTCTAGATGATGGAGCTGCAGAAAAGGCTTTTCTCATGGACACAATGTGGCTTTGTGCTGCTGTGGTCCTCAAACACACTGCTAAGACAACCATAACTCACTCACTCACACACACACACACACACACAGGTTTGTTTTTGTGAAAAGTGGGGACTCTCCATAGGTGTAATGGTGTTTATACTGTACAGACCGTATATTCTATTGCCCTACCCCAACCCTACCCCTAAACCTACCCCTCACAGGAGACTTTCTGCTATTTCAGATTTTCAATACACTCCATTCTGTGTGATTTATAAGCGTTTTGAAAAGTGGGGACATGGGGTAATGTCCTGAAAACTCACCTTCTCCTTGTAATACCTGTTATACCTTTGTCATTATACACATTTATGTCCTCATTTGTCACAAAAACGCGTACACACACTCACACACACACACACACACACTCACACTCTCACACACACTCACACAGGTTTGGGTGAAAATATATTTGTCCTGGTTAATTGTCATGAAAATGGTATAATAAGGTAAGGTAAACAGTGCAAGGATAGTATTTTGTGTGTGTGTGTGTGTAGGACTCGTCTGTGTGATGAAGCAGAAACTGATTTTTCCTCAGAAAGCTCTTGAACAGATGAATCCGTCTCTTCCTGTTCATCCAGTGTTTGTTGTCGAGCAACAGCTGCTGTGACATTTGCTCTAAAAGCTGTTTTATGTCGGGTTTGAAGTGTCAAACAAAGTGAATCTATGATGTGAAGTTCTGATAATGTGTGTGTGTGTGTGAGTGACTGATTCAGAGCTCAGATACGGAGATCCAGTTCAACATGTTTGAACAAAGAAGCCTCCAGATGATCTTTCCATACTCACCTTCATGATTAATGTCTTAGATATTGTTAATCATAAACCAGATATTTATCCAAAGTTAACAAGAGATAAGCAAGTTTGTGTTTGAGGTGATGTTCAACATCATGGATCTACAATATGTATGTGGCTTGACCAGCTAATGCAGGGTTCTCACGATATCTGAAGGCATTTGATACTCAAAGCAGCTCTTTGCATGTTTGTGCCGACAGACAGGAGACGAATGCATGCAAAGCATGTCATCATCATAAGCATAATCATGTGCTTCCATGTGCAAAATTAGAGAGAACAGAAGCATTTTCCTAAAAACATTCCCATATATACTTTCTGGATTCCCATGGAAGTTCAGAGCAAACCTTAAAAACACCAGCACTTTGATTGCAAATTCGTGTCACGCTGCAGGACTTTTGAAATGAACTGCAACACAAACACATAACAGTCAGAGGCGGGGTGCAGCAAACACACTCGTTCACGAGCTTATTCCAGTCTCTGTTTGACTCTTATAAGAGATCGACATGCCATTCACAGTTTACAGCCGAAGTAACTTTTTCAAAAGCTGAACTGATTTCTAGCTGACATGTTGTCCTTAAAATGTGGTGCTCGTGGCGTACGATGCTGAAAAAATAAATAATAAAACGGCCAAAGATGTACTTCTGGTGTACACAGGCTTAGAAATAAATGGTCCAAACGGGTGTTTTGCCTTAGAAGAACCAGTTGGTTTCGCAAAGTACCAAAAAAAACTAAATTCTTAGAGTGAAGAGCATTTCATAATCAGTGCAATGTTTCCTTTGTTCCCATTTTCCCGCCACTAGCTTGTTTCCATAGTTACTCATTAGTTCCATCACCTGTCTGTAGTTTGTTTAATGTATTTAAGCCCCGAGTTGCTTCAGTTCATTGTTTGGTCTTGTCTCTGTTTCCTGTATGAAAGTGGAAGTGAAGCGGTCAGTCACGTTTACATTATTTAGTAAACTAAATACATAACAATCACAATTAATGTAACCATTTTAAAGAAAAAAAAATGTAAAGCTCCTTGTTATATTTCCTCATCATGTGCTTCATTTGTATTGTACTACATTTCATGTTCATTTTTCATTTTTCAAACTATTTTGATCTCTTCCGAATCAGTCCCTGTAGAGAGAAAGTTCTGTAGACAGATTTTTTTCTTTTCTTTCAGAACTCTGTAATCTGTCGTTAAACATTGGCAAGCGAACAGTCGAACAGATGACGTGTTTCTGCAGACAGACAGACGACGGACTCTTAGACAGTTTATTTTGCTGGGTAAAAATATCCAGTTGGTCTTCCCGTGTCACAGCCGGACCGAACTGCAGTCATTTCTGTCCACTTTAATGTGTAATTACAGTAAAACTGAACGCAGAACCAGGTACGGGTCTATAAATAAACCGCATATTCTCCATTCACATGCACACAGAGTGCTTTGACAACATGTCTACGTTCTCCACATGATAATGTGGATTGGCTCAGCTTATACAGTATGAAGTTCTGTCATCATATGGGGATTTCTCAGGCATGATGGGAAACCTGACCGAGCGGTTCAGAGAGCATACCCTGATATTGACAATCTCATGTTTGTTCTTTGCTGAAGGCCTGCGACGGCATTGTGTGACATGAGCATGTCTCTGCACGCTCAGACTCGACGCCCGCTGCGTCTGCTCACTCATTCATGCTGAATCAATGCAGCTCTTTATGTGCATGGAAATAATCATCAGACTACAGTGTCAGGCAGCAGCCGAGCTGGTCATAAAACTGGGAAAAATCCCATAGAATGTTCAAATGAGCCAAGACTCATTTTCAAAAAGTCTAATCGGAACTCCCAGAATCCCTTTGGGACTCGTGTAAGCTTCCTTTACATCTAATATTCCCAGTCTAATATACATGTAAGGAGTGTGCCAAAACATGCTAGCAATGTTGAGACATGTCAGCAATGAGTTAAACGTGTTCTTAACGTTAAAACATGTTTGCAAAGTTCTAAAACATGCAACGCAGACGGCACCACATTACAATTTCCAGCTTCGACTTTTGAAAGCTACTACTTATTCAAACGTCAAACTACTTCAAGAATGAACACATTCAACCGTTCTAGTCAGGCTTTCTCAAGTTCATGGAGAAACAGTTTCACACATTGTGTAAATGAGTTATTATCATAGCGTAATCTGTCTGCTGAACACATGCAAACAGCATCAAACGCGTCGTTATCTCTGTTAGCGTGGGTAGTGCTCATGAATAGAAGGAGTCATGCAGATTATGAATCTGTTGCATTGACTGAACTCGACTCTTTGTGCAGTGAATCAATGAGACTCTGTGCACGGAAGAACTGAGCGCCAATGCATGTGTGAAAGCCATTCTCTCTGTTCGTTTAGATTGCTTGAGACAACTGCGATCATCGCACTTTCAATTATTTTTTGGACATCTTTAACCTTTGTGCTTCATCATTGATCACTTTTCTTCAGTGCTGTGTCATAAAGTGATGCTTATTTCCAACTCTTCTCTCAGCCATTTGTAATTATGCCGTTTTATTTCACATTAAAAACATTTCGTAATTAAAAAAAATACAGACAGACACAATAAGTCACAATGTAGTATGACATTTCCCCAAAAACAAAGTTGAAAATGAACAATAAATTAGGCGTATTCAATCAATCAAGCACACAAACAGAAACAAATGAAATAGCAGCACAAATAACACACACGCCATTTCATCACCAACACAAAATAACAGCAAAAACCCCATGCAAGATGTCTGTTAAAGATCTCTTCATCTGGAAAGCATCTGCTGTGTGCAAACATCTGACAGACGTCTCCAAGATGCCAGTTTTACATGCATTCTGAATCATAAACATCTTAAAGACATCTTCTAAAGGTCTATTTGACATCTGATAGGAGACATCCTATAGACGTATTGCAGACGTGCAAACACTATAAAAATACGTCTCCGAGACGTAATGCAGACGTCAAATAGACGTCTCCGAGATGTACATGTGCTATCAGGGAAAAACCTGCTGTGACATTACAGTTCTCAAAATAGCATATCCGTGTTAAAATAAAGTTACTGAATTCACTTGAAAATGTCACAGATTCACGTAAGAACAATTTAATTATTGCAGCGAAGAGTCAAACCTGAATGAAACATCAGTTAAAGAGTCGTTAACTAGCTTTGGCATGAGCAGGGATTGCACTTCAACGCGAAAGCGCTCGAAACATCGCTGTAAATCCTGTGGGTTCACACATCAGCAGAGCACCGAGAGCTGTCAATGTAAACGTGTGAGGATTAGCATTAGCATTAGCATGTGAGCCAGACGTGATCGATCTGATGGTCTGCGTTCACACTTCACACTGAAGTAATATTTCCTGTTAAAGATGCAATTATATTTGAGTTAGGGCTGCACAATTAATCAAATTTCTAATCGCAATTACAATTACATAATCCTTCAAAAAAGCAGCAATTAATCGTTCAAAGTCGCTTATGTTATTCTGCACGCTTAAGATGCTTTTTTTTCTTTCTACGTGTTATCTTAAGGGTTTTTCCATTGTTTTAGTATAACATTATACTACCATGCATGTTTTTTACATTTTTATTTAAAGAGAAACCAATCCGATGTATAGTTGACATTTGAGGCTTAATACTATAGAAAAGCAATACAAGTTTTTCAGTTAGTGTTTCCAGCTTCATATAAAAATATGGCATGCAGTTGCTTCAAACAAAGGTGTAAACATCAATTTAATCGTAAATGAATAATCGCAAAAGTACAATTTCAAAGGAATAATCGACATTTATGATTGTTGTCATAATCGTGCAGCCCTAATTTGAGTATTACATTTTTACTTTAAAGTGCTCCTATTATGGATTTTTTTTTTTATTACCTTTCATGCAGTGTGTAACAGCTCTAAGTGAATCAAAACATCCTGCAACGTTTTAAATCTGAACGTGCACCATGTATAAAGTTATTGTCTCTCAAAAGAAAGAGTGGACTCTGAATCACTGAAACAAGACGTTTTTAAAACGAATCCCAAGCCGTTTCATCTTGACGTCAACATGAGACATTAGCATATTGCCCGCCCACGTGTTGGTCTTTCCGAGTTGGTCTGAATGAAAATGCAAATTCATTCTTTGCCACTAGGTGCCGCTTTTGGAGCGGTAAAAATAGCGGTTTCCCCGGCAAGGCTGTACACAAAGCAGCACTGTGCTCACAAACGCCACTTTATCAGGCATTACAGGCGAGATCCAATCGACCAATCACCGCAGATTAGCGTCACGCAAAGAAGCTGTTTGGAAAAATGAATCGTTAAACGAATCGTTTGGGAGTCGTTGAGCAGGTAAGGTAAAAAATAAATGCATATATTATAAGACAATGAAAGTGTTTTTGACCTTGCATGCATGTCAACCTGTTGTTGGGGACTCCCAAAGCCAAAATATGAACCTTTCATAACCCATAACAGGGGCACTTTAATATAAAATGTTGAGTAGGTCTGAGGTGGTTTAAGGAGTATTGAGTGATCATAATTTGATCAAATAAAGAGAAGGTTAAGAGTAAGTTTGCGCTCATTCATTCTAGTCTATCTCAGATTCGCTCCAAGTGGAAGTGTCGCTGTTTTTATAAGTAATGGCAGGTAAAACAATCGTGTTTAATCGTGTTTGGGAAGGGAAAGTGTTCAGTCTGATCCCGTCTGCTCTTTTTCCACAAATCACAAAAAACGTAACGAAAGACAACATTAGTTAACGCTCAGTAGTTTCACGATCTTACTGATCGACCGCTGTCGTTGATAACTTGCAGAGAACTCTTTATTTTTTTTCCCAGTGGATAAATTTAACATTGATAGCCAATCAGAATCCATCCTGCTTTACAGATGACAAAACTTCAGCGTGCTTATAATAAAGTTATTGTATGTTGGTGTGAACACCAATATAGATATCATTACAATCACTCCTGGTGTGAACAGCCTTTTATGGTGAAGAAATCCAGACATTAATCCACAGACGGAAAAACAAAACAAAACGCATGAGTTAAATTGACCCTTATGACTGGTTTTGTGCTCCAGGGTCACATTATATGCTTTCCATTTGGATTCGGGTCAGATGTCTTTATCCAAGCACACGTTAGCGCTATCCGAAGCAGTAGTACTCGTCGGTTTCCACCCGAGGCCGTAGAGGAGATTTCGTGAGCGTCTCCTCATCCATGCTGGTTCTGGAGAGGTCTGCGGGCGAGGAGCGTTCGGGTTCGTCCTCCCCGAGCGTGTCCAGATAACTGCCCAGCGAGATCCCGTCGAGCCCGTCGCTGCAGGAGCCGCGCTCAGACTCCGCGCCGTCTGATAGGCTGCACAAGCTGTCCGTCACACTGCCCTCACGGCTGGCCCCGCCCCCGCGCTCCTCCATCACCCAGCGGATCGACTCGATGCCCTCGTTGATGGACAGCAGCTGATGCATCAGTGTCACGTCGATGGCACGCAGATGAGCCTGTGACCGAGAAACACATTAGAAACACTACAACAGCTCTATCCACAAAACTGCTCACCAAGGCTGCATTTATTTGATCAAAATGCTATAAAAAAGACTAAATATTATTACCGTTTAAAACAGCTGTTTTCTAAGTGAGTATCTGTTCAACTGTAATGTATTTCTGTGATGTGCAGCTGTATTTTCAGCATCATTCCTCCAGTCTTCAGTGTCACATGATCTTCAGAAATCAGTATAATATGCTGATCTGCTGCTCAAGAAACATTTCTGATTATTATCAATGTTGAACACAGTTGTGCTGCACAATATTTTAGTGGATTTTTTCAAGATTCAGAGTTGAACAGAAAGTTCAAAAGAACACATTTTTTTGAAATAGAAATCTTTACATTGTAAATGTCTTTACTGTCACTTTTGATCAATTTAATGCGTCCTTGATGACATATACACACACACAAACATTAGGGATGGGACGATTCTCCGATTCGCTTCGGCATAAAAGTTAACGATGCGATGCATCGATTTAAAAAGTGTGCATCGGCTACAAGTTGGCATTGTTTCTAACATGTTTGCATTGGTAAACATGCAATTGGCATCTGATGAATCACAACACCTGTTTCATAAAAGACGCTTAGAAAAGCGGGGATTAAAGTCCTAAACCTTACTTGAAATAACCTCATTCCTCCAGTCTTCAGTGTCACATGATCTTCAGAAATCAGTATAATATGCTGATCTGCTGCTCAAGAAACATTTCTGATTATTATCAATGTTGAACACAGTTGTGCTGCACAATATTTTAGTGGATTTTTTCAAGATTCAGAGTTGAACAGAAAGTTCAAAAGAACACATTTTTTTGAAATAGAAATCTTTACATTGTAAATGTCTTTACTGTCACTTTTGATCAATTTAATGCGTCCTTGATGACATATACACACACACAAACATTAGGGATGGGACGATTCTCCGATTCGCTTCGGCATAAAAGTTAACGATGCGATGCATCGATTTAAAAAGTGTGCATCGGCTACAAGTTGGCATTGTTTCTAACATGTTTGCATTGGTAAACATGCAATTGGCATCTGATGAATCACAACACCTGTTTCATAAAAGACGCTTAGAAAAGCGGGGATTAAAGTCCTAAACCTTACTTGAAATAACCAAACAAATCAATCGGGGCTAAAGCGTTTCCATAAATGACTATTTAAGTTCATGCAATTTCACTAATTTGTGCACGCTTATTCTTAAGCAGCCCTTAATGTCGATCATGGACCTAATCGATCCACCATGACAAACAGCTAATATATTTGTGCTGTGTAATGTATTTGAGACGTTGTGTGTTCTTCAGTGCATAACTGACATGTCACAGTTATATTCTTCATCTGTAAATGTTAGAAAGTCATGCAAACATATCCCTTTTGCTGTCGGGAGTGAGCGAGCGCTGCTAAACAGAATAGTAGCGTAATAATTCTGAGTAAAATATACATTACAATACCGATTCAGATCAAGATCTTCCTTTCATTTCGTTTGGCAGCAGTCGGTCAGTTAGTGACACAATAAATACAGGCGAAACATTTCAGCGAGGCAAATGAAGCGGATACACACAGGCTGATTTGCATGAGGTTCGTGTCAAGACGTGAACACGAGCGACTGAAGCTCCGTGTCTGTCTGATCAGTCATGAATCAGCTGCTGCTCGCGCCGACAAACCATAATACTGCCACTGTTCCCCACGGCAACAGCTGTCTGTTTCCACACACACCGTCCTTATCCAAACAAAGGACAGCTGTGTGTTACAGGAACAGTCCAGTGATTCATTAACTCTCGCTTCAGAGCCAAACGACGCTCACGCTGCTCTGTTCCAGATGATGAACAAAACAAACCGTGACATAAATGTAGTCCGTATGGGCTGAACTGGCATGAACTGATGACGGGAAGATCATTTTGAGAGAACCGTCCCTTTAAGAGCGATCAATACTGACACACTTTTAGTATCTGATGGCCTGATCAACACTGGGAGTTTAAGATGCAATGGTCCAAAGGTTTACAGCCTTTAAAGGCAACAGTGTGTGAGTGTGTGTGTGTGTGTGTGAGAGTGAGTGAGTGAGTGAGTGAGTGAGTGTGTGTGTGTGTGTGTGAGAGTGAGTGAGTGAGTGAGTGAGTGAGTGTGTGTGTGTGTGTGTGAGAGTGAGTGAGTGAGTGAGTGAGTGAGTGTGTGTGTGTGTGTGTGAGAGTGAGTGAGTGAGTGAGTGAGTGAGTGTGTGTGTGTGTGTGTGAGAGTGAGTGAGTGAGTGAGTGAGTGAGTGTGTGTGTGTGTGTGTGAGAGTGAGTGAGTGAGTGAGTGAGTGAGTGTGTGTGTGTGTGTGTGAGAGTGAGTGAGTGAGTGAGTGAGTGAGTGTGTGTGTGTGTGTGTGAGAGTGAGTGAGTGAGTGAGTGAGTGAGTGTGTGTGTGTGTGTGTGAGAGTGAGTGAGTGAGTGAGTGAGTGAGTGTGTGTGTGTGTGTGTGAGAGTGAGTGAGTGAGTGAGTGAGTGAGTGTGTGTGTGTGTGTGTGAGAGTGAGTGAGTGAGTGAGTGAGTGAGTGTGTGTGTGTGTGTGTGAGAGTGAGTGAGTGAGTGAGTGAGTGAGTGTGTGTGTGTGTGTGTGAGAGTGAGTGAGTGAGTGAGTGAGTGAGTGTGTGTGTGTGTGTGTGAGAGTGAGTGAGTGAGTGAGTGAGTGAGGGAGTGAGTGAGTGTGTGAGTGTGTGTGTGAGTGAGTGTGTGTGAGTGTGCGCGTTTTTGTGACAAATGAGGAGATAAATTTGTATAACGACAAAGGTATAACAGGTATTACAAGGAGAAGGTGACTTTTCAGGACATTACCCCATGTCCCCACTTTTCAAAACGCTTATAAATCACACAGAATGGAGTGTATTGAAAATCTGAAATAGCAGAAAGTCTCCTGTGAGGGGTAGGTTTAGGGGTAGGGTTGGTGTAGGGCAATAGAATATACGGTCTGTACAGTATAAAAACCATTACGCCTATGGAGAGTCCCCACTTTTCACAAAAACAAACCTGTGTGTGTGAGTGTGAGAGTGATTGTGTGTGTGTGTGTGTGTGTGTGTGTGTGTGGGAGTGTGTGTGGGAGTGTGAGAGCGAGTGTGTGTGTGTGTGATTGTGTGTGGGAGTGTGAGAGCGAGCGAGTGTGTGTGTGTGTGTGTGTGTGTGTGTGAGAGAGA